GGGGGTTATTCTAATTTTCTTTTTGTATCTGTTGAGGTTTGCTTAGTTGGCAAGTATATGGTCAATTCTAGAGAAGGTTCCATGTGGTGCTGAGATGAAGGTATAATCTTTTGTGTTTGGATGGGATGTTCTATAGATGTCTGTTAAACCCAATTGGGTCATCACTTCTGTTAGTTCCTTTATTTCTTTGTTACGTTTCTGTTTGATGATTCTGTCTACTGGTGAGAGTGGGGTATTGAAGTATCCCACTTAAATGTGTGGGGCTTTCTGTGTGATATGAATTGTATTGTTTCTTTTATGAATGTGGGTGCCTTTGTATTTGGGGCATAGATGTTCAGAATTGAGACTTAATCTTGATGGATTTTTTTTCTGAGATGAATATGAAACACTTCATCTCTTTTGAAGTCTAATTTGTTAGATATTATGATAGCTACACCAGCTTGTTTCTTAGGTTTTTTTGGATTGGAAAATCTTTTCCAAACCCTTTACTCTGAGGTAATGTCTGTCTTTGAAGTTGAGGTGTATTTCTTTTTTCCCCCTTTTCTATTATATTTTTTTTATTCTCCAGATTTATTTTGGTAAAAAAAAATCAGATATAACCTTTCAAAATTACATTAATGTTTAACATGCATTCAAATAACTTTCTTTTTTTTCCAGTTTAAATTTAGATAAGAAACAAGGTTGCTTCACAAGTCAGTTCCAGGTCCCTCTCCCATTCCCTCCCCTCCTCCCGTGCCCTCCCCCCAACCCCCCCCTTATCCCCTCATTCCCCCAGGGAGAGTGAGGCCCTCCATGGGGGTGTCCACAGTCTGTCATTTCATATAGGGCAGGGCCTAGACCCTTCCCTAAGAGTTCAGGGTGAGAGTGCACCTCACATTGTTCTATGGGAGTCCAAAGTCCGTGTGTATACTTGGGATGGGTACTGATCTGCTGCCCAAGGCTCAATAGGTTCCCTAGGCCTCCTCACTGACACCCAAATTCAGGGGGTATTGATCAGTCCCATGCTGGATTCCCAGGCGCAGGAGAAGGATGGATTCTATCTTCACATGCATTCTGTTTGTCTGTGTCTTTTTAAATGTGAGCTAAGACTGTTGATGTAGAGGGATATTAATGACCATTGACTGTTGATTCTTGCTTGTTTTGGATATGTCGTTGTTCGTGGTATTGTGTGTGGGTTCCCCCCCGCCTCCTTGTCTTTTGGGAAAGTGAATTATCTATTGCCTATGTTTTTGTTAGTGCAGTTAATTCCCTTGTGATGGGGGAAGTCCTGTGTATATGTCAATATGTTGGCCAATAGGGAAACAAGATAGGTGGGACTAGAAATCCAGGAGGACTCTGGGAAGGAGAAACACAAGAAGTCGAGATGTAACGCCATGGGGTAGGAAGCCCGGAAACTTCTCCGGTAAGAGACATACTTAGATTAACAATTATGGGGTAATTACTTAAGTCAGAGCTAGTCAGTAAGAAACCAGCAAGGCCAACAGCTTCCTAATTAATATAGCCTCCTGTGTGTTTATTTGGGACTGATGCGGCTCTGGAACCAGGCTGGCGGGAAGGCTTTCCCTTTACATAATGGTGATCATAAGTGGGATCATGAATTTCCATGCAGAATGACAAAAGCTTTAAAGGAATTTTAGAAACAAAAGAACGGAGAAAAGTATGGGTTTTTGGTAGCAGCATTTTTCTCAAGTGGGTGTACAGCTGCTGGAAGTGGCAGTGACCACATCTCCAAGGATAGACTGAGGCAATGAGCTGAAATCATGCTTAAGCCCGCCATCTTGGAAAAACTGCAGTTTAAACAGCCGCGGTTTTAACAGATAAGACACATGGCCAGAAAAACATAGAGATTTACAGTAAAGTCAGACTTGGATGAAGAAAGATCTCTAAATGTTTACAGTGTGTTTAAAAATATACGTAAGATTGAGAGACAAAAATAAACGACAAAGTGGTAAATAAGTAGAGAAGCCGGCTGTGGCGGTGCACGCCGGAATAATTTGCTGCAGAGGCAGAGGCAGGCAGGTTTCTAAGGAGAAATCCTGTCTCAGCAAAAAAAGAAATAAAAGTAAAAGAAATAGAATAATAATAGATAAATAAATATGCCACGTAAAGATGGAAAATACACAGAGAGTCTGGATACTGTATGCTATTGTGTTTTTCAGTTTTTTTGATTGCTCAGGAAGGAACAACTGCTAAAGTACACTTGATTATAAATGCTGCTGAATTAATTCAACTTATATCTTTCAAAAATGCCTTGACTTCAAAATTTAAGTATAAGGATATGTTACTTGGAAAAGGAGTTTTTGTTTATGTTTCTACAGAAAATAAAAAGCTGAGGATTCCTTCCAGGCTTCTGTGGTTTGATGAATCAAGACCCCAGGAAGCAGTGGACCAGGTGTTCCAACAATTGAAAGAGCTAAGATGATGCAGCTTTACAGACCACGAAAATAAGGACTTATATAGGTTTCTGAGTTTTGTCATGATCTCCATGCTATGAACGGCGCCCCCTTCTAGCTTGAAGCAGTTTGGAATGAGCAACGTCCTAATAACCATCTTGTTTATAAATCTTTGTTTTCATTTAAATGGGTTGCTTATAATTGGTTAATGATCACAACAAATCTCTTTTTAAAGGAAAAAGGGGATTATGGTATGAAAATGAATACTTTGTATTGGTATGGTTTTTCATTTATTGAGACAAATTCAAGGTCGTATATATCTCCTCTTAATTAAGTATTGTGCTTATACTGATCTTTTAAAATGTAATGCATAATTAAATACAGACTATAGATAGTTACTTATAATACTCAGAACTTATAGTTAAGTAAGTTAGGTTTTCTAGATATACAGAAATATATTTGAGATAGTCTTCAAACCTTTCAAAGACCTTCAGAAAGTGGCATTTAAAATGGTTTAGGGTTTTTCTTGACAATGAGAAATGTCTGCTCCTGGCATCACCAATTACGTCTGAGAGGAAGATGGGCATTAAAGAAACTCGTTATGGAGTTTGCTTTAAACATGGCAAGATTAGCCATTTGGGCAAGAAATTGCTCTTGCCTGTACTGCTTGACTATTGTTGTATAATCTGGACATGCAGGACTCACAGGAAAGTGACTGCTGAACTGAGTCTTACAGGGTTCCTGCTTCTTGGAAGAGTCTATGAGACTTTCTGAAGGACACAGAGAAATGACTGACAGACTGCCAATACAGATGGACAGTTTTGAAATCTCCTGCTTTGCTGAGAAATCTTCTAGACACATTGTGGCCTATGGGCTGAAGATGGATGCCCCAACATTACAGAGGAACTTTGGGTGACTGTCCAGGTAGCAAGATGTCTCTGTCAATCCTAGTGTTTATATATTATCCTTCTGTGGTCTTTGATAGAGTTGAAGGCCGATAGTTATAATTATAGTTTTCCTTAGTTATGATAAAAGATAAGCTATATTTAGAAATTTGGACTCACAAGGATGGGATGGATGATATTCTCTTTAAATCTTGCTAAAATATTGTAACTGTGTTCTTACTTGATAACTGTTCTGTTATATATAATTTGACTATGTTAAAGTTAAGACCTTTCTTTTTGTATAGACAGAAAAGAGGAGATGATGGGGGAAGTCCTGTGTATATGTCAATAAAGCACTGTTGGCCAATAGGGAAACAAGCTAGGTGGGACTAGAAATCCAGGAGGACTCTGGGAAGGAGAAACGCACGAAGTCGAGATGTAACGCCATGGGGTAGGAAGCCCGGAAACTTCTCCGGTAAGAGACATACTTAGATTAACAATTATGGGGTAATTACTTAAGTCAGAGCTGGCCAGTAAGAAACCAGCAAGGCCAACAGCTTCCTAATTAATATAGCCTCCTGTGTGTTTATTTGGGACTGATGTGGCTCTGGAACCAGGCTGGCGGGAAGGCTTTCCCTTTACACCCTTGGGTTGGAGTTTTCCTTCCATACCTTTCTGTAGCGCTGGATTTGTGGATATGTGTTGTTTAAATCTAGTTTTGTCATGGGATATCTTGTTTTATCCATCTATAGTGATTGAGAGTTTTGTTGGGTATAGTAGTCTGGGCTGGAATCTGTGATCTCTTAGTGTTTGTAGAACATCTCTCCAGGACCTCCTGGCTTTCAGAGTTTCCATGGAGAAGTGAGGTGTACTTCTGATAGGTCTGCCTTTTTATGTTACTTGGCCTTTTCCCCTTTCTGCTCTTAATATTCCTTCTTTATTCTGTATGTTTGGTGTTTTGATTATTATGTTGTGAGGGGATTGTTTTCATGGTCCAGTCTATTTGGTGTCTGTTAAGCTTCTTGAACTTTCATACTCATGTCTTTCTTTAGGTTGGGAAAGTTTTCTTTTATGATTTTGTTGAATATGTTTTCTGCACCTTTGAGCTGGGTATTTTCACCTTCTTCTATACCTATTATTCTTAGGTTTGTCTTTTCATAGTGTCCTATACTTCCTGGATATTTCGTGTTAGGGATTTGTTGGACTTAGGATTTTCTTTGGTCCTTGAATCTGTTTCTCCTAGTGTGTCTTAAACACCTGAGATTCTTTCTTCCATCTCTTGTATTCTGGTGGTTATGCTTGCTACCATTGTTCCTGCTTGTTTATCCAGATTTTATTTTTCCAGCATTCCCTGAGTCTGTGTTTTCTTTATTGTCTCTATTTCAGCTCTCAATTCTTGAACTGTTTGAATTGTTTCCTTCACCTGTTTGTTTTTTCTTGGTTTTCCTTACTTTCTTTAAGAGATTTGTGTATTCCTCACATTTTTTCGTTGTCTATTCCTCCATTTCTTGCATTTTTGTTTGTTTTTTTCTTCTTTAAGGGACTTTCTTATTTCCTCTTTGAGGGCCTCTGTCATCTTCATAAAGTTGTTTTTAAGGTCATTCTCTTCTGCCTCATCTCCGTTGGGATGTTCAGGTCTTGCTGGTGTAGAATTCCAAGACTCTGGTGATGTCATATTAGTCTTTTGTTGTTGAATGCGTTCTTATACTGTTATATTTGCATCCCTCTTTCCAGTGGGTGCAGATGGTGTCTCTCCCTCTCCCAGTGGGTCAGGGTTCAAACTCTCTCCCAGTAGGTGCAGGTAGGTCCAAAACTCCAATGGCGGTAGACCCTGGATGTTTTGGTATGCCCCCAGCTCTCTGGGGGATTCAATCAGTAGGAACAGTCTTGGTGTAGTCCTCAGGTCAGGAGACTCCAAGCCTCTTTCAGTTTTAAAAGACAAATTTGCTTCATATAAGAAACTTGGTTTGTAGTTATTTACTTTCAGAGCTCAAGAAATATGACTAACATATCATTTCATGCTTCCCTGGCTTTTATATTTGTTGATAGGGATTGTCTGCTGTTTCTACATTTATAGATGAGCTTGTGCTTTTCCCTTATAGCATTTTAATATTCTTTACTTTGTATTTTTAAACTATAGTATGCCATAGAGAAGTTCTTCTTGGCTCATTTGTTGAGGTTTTAAAAGCTTTTTCTATTTGAATGTTATTTCGTTTTTATATTTGTAGAAAATTATGCTATGATCTGTTAGGATTTACTTCAGATATTTCCTTTGCCTCACAGGTTCTTAGATCTGATTTCTTAGTTACACCTGAGTTTCTGCATGCTTTATTTACACTCACATGTTACTATTTTCCTTATTGGAATCTAAGTGTAGTATTTTAATTCTTCCATTCTTGATATTCTTTCTTCTGAATGGTCAAATCTACTAACAGTGCTTTCTGTTATGTATTTTATATGGTTCATTTTTTTCCATTTATAACGCTTATGTCTTTTTCTCCCTAATCCTCATTTCCTTGCTGAACTTTTCCCATGTTGCTGACCCTTTCATCCACAATCCTGTTTTCCCCATACATTACTGACCTTTTAGACATTCTTCTCCAGTTCCTATATTGAATTCACCTGCTTGTTTGCATAATTTATATCATTTATTATATGTAAACAGAAAGCTTTTTAAACCTTCTGGAATTTTACCTGTTTAAATGTGTTTGAGAACAGGATACCTAGAGTCGGTGTCTTTCATAAGATTCATGTTGCCTTAACTCTTCTTTTTCTTCTTCTTCTTCTTCTTCTTCTTCTTCTTCTTCTTCTTCTTCTTCTTCTTCTTCTTCTTCTTCTTCTTCTTCTCTTCCTCCTCCTCCCCCTCTCTTTCTTTGTTCTTGTCTCATTAGATCTTGTCTGCAGTTTCCCCTCCCTTCACTCCTCCCAGCCTCCCTGCCACATCCCCTCTCCCCCACATCCACCTCACCCTCCTTCAAAAATGAGCATTTCTCCAGGGATATCCACTGAACATGGCATAACAGGTTACACAAAGATGAGGTACATCCCCTAATATCAAGGCTGGATGAGGTAACCCAGTAGGAGAAAAGGGTTCCACAATTAGGCCAAAGACTCAGAAACACCCCAACTTCCACTGTTACGAGTCCCACAAGAACACCAAGCTACAGGACCATAACATAAATGTATAGGATGCAGGTCAGCCCCATACAGGCCCCCTGATTATCTCTTCACTCTCGGTAAGCTCCTATGAGCCCTGCTTAGTTGATTCTGTGGTCCATGTTTTCCTGGTGTCCTTGACCCCCCCACTCGATCCTATAATCCTTCCTTCCCCTCTTTCACAGGTTTCCCCAAACTCCACCTAATGTTTGACTATGGGTCTCAGCATTAGTTCCCATCAGTTGCTAGATGGAGCCTCTCTGATGACAATTATGGTAGGCTCTGTTCTATAAGTATAACAGAATGTCATTAGGAATCATTTCATTGAGTTTTTTTTCCAGACATGTTTGGTATTGTCCTAGATCTCTGGACTATCTAGCCTCTGGTTCCTAGCCATCCAGACAGTGCCAGGTTTGAACTCCCTTTCATAGTGTGGGTCTCAAATTGGACCTGTCATTGGTTAGCCACTCCCACAAGTTCTGCACTACCCAGCTCATCTTGCAGGCAGGACAGATTATAGGTTGAAAGTTTTGTGGCTGCATTAGTGACCCAGTCCCTCTACTAGAAGCCTTGCCTGCTTAAGAAGATGGCTGTTTCAGGCTCCATATCCCCCATTCCTAGGAACTTGAATTAGCCATCTTCTATAAGGATCACCTTCAAAGATTCCAGGGAGTTCCCATTGCACTAGGTTTGTGTGTCTGTATGGTACTATTTGTATATCTGTTGGTTGGGATGTCTGTTTTCTTGCAGCAAGGAGAAGACCAACTGCTTTAGGGAGATGTTACCTTGGTGGAGCTGTCCATGATGCTGTCTCCAATGAAGGCCTCTGTGTTGTCTTTTTCTCCACTCTTTCCCTTTAACTTTTAACTTTGTCCCTGGCTCACAAGGAGCAGCATCAATTCCATCATTCTATCTGGAAGCAACTTAAAGGACAAATATTTGAAAAAGAAGCTATCTCTTAATTTGACCAATTAAAAATGGATTCTGTTTTCAGAAGGGTTCACCCAACATTACAGTTCCTTCCACACTGTTAATTAAGTAGCCACTATTGGAAAGTATTTTTATCCTTCCAATCTGCCTGAGTTGTTCCAGTCAAGCATAATTTCCACTAATAAATGACTAGAAATAGAATAAATTATGAACAATGCTCAGGTTAGTGCCCTGAATATGAAATCATCATGAAACTGGAGAAATAGCACAGTGGTTAAAGTACACATTGCTCTTCCAGAGGACCTGAGTTTTTGTTTGCCAGAACCTGCAAAGAGCAGTTCACAACCACCTGCAGCACCAGCTACAGGGAGTCTGGCTTCCTCTTCCGGCCTCTGTGGGTTAGGGTTAGGGTTAGGGGTTAGGGTTAGGGTTAGGGTTAGGGTTAGGGTTAGGGTTAGGGTTAGGGTTAGGGTTAGGGTTACAACCTATCATTACAACACATCTTTAAAATGAAATAATCATCTAGAAGAAAAATCCAGATTCTTGAAAGATATCATGATTATTTAGTTAATGTTCTTGAGTAGAAGCAATTATGCTAATTACATAAAAATTAGCTGGTTAATTAAAATGCAACACATTAGTTAAAGAAGCATCTTGAAAAGTTAGACACTGGTTTATTCTGGTTTAAGCTAGTAGTTCTCTGACAAGTTATAAGAAAAGAAATACCTCCGATTTTGTGTATAGGAAGTCTTTGCTTTAAGTGTCTCTGAGAAGTCAGCTTGCAAAGCACTCTTTTGCACATTGTTTACTCTGTATATGTTAAGTCTATGCTTAGGCATTGCCACATTAGGGTGATTGGAGCCCTTGGAGGTGGGCAGCTTGAATTAGATTTTCTGTAGGACTTACAGGACCTTAGGGAAATTACTTAATGGCTTCAAGCTCTGGTTTCCTCATTTCTCAAATGGGATAAGTGGTTCTAATTTACAGCTTGTTGTGAAGACCCAATGCTATCAGCACCCATAAAAATCCCATCCATCATTAGCATGACTAGGTAGAGGAGAGGTGCTTTTGGCTTGATTTTAAAAAGCCCTCAATTTTTATGTATAGTTGGTGTTTGGTAAGTGTTATTTCTACATCAATTGTTTAACTTCTACACATTTTCCCCTCAAAGGCCCTACAGTTGTGAGCACTGTAGTTTGGGATGATTAAGATAGTTAAACACAGCATGCTATTACATTGTGACAGGTTATAGGCTGTAGGCATTAAAAATATCAACACACAGAAAATAAAACATTCTGAGAAGGTACCATGATGCAATCTTGGTAAAGCTTTCCCATGTCTCCACTTGTTTAAACATTGTTTTAATCATGTAAAATTCTGGTGTTGGACTAAATCCACAATTTCCTTCCAGATCTCCAAGTGTATATGACTGTCCCATCTGAAATTCACTCTTGACAGCTGCTTCTACTTTTATGGTGCCTTATGACCTTGGACTCTTGTCAGGTAGCCTGTCATGAAGGTGATCACCTATTTCTGCCCACTCAGGACTGTTGGTGGGAACCATGGCACAAGTGTAAAGCCACCCAGGAGAGAAGTGTGGGTGTTAAAAGCAGTATAAATGTGAGGGCAGTGATAAAATGACAGTGCGAAGAGCAGAGGCCACCAGAATGCCTCGCTGCTAGTGGGTGTTTGCTTACTTCTTACTGACCTGGCATTTCTTCAAGCAACATATTTCAGATTCAAGCTGCTGGGAATTTCTGTCTTTACTAATACTGGCTTTCACCACCCTATTATCCCCCCATTGAGAAAGAAGTATATCTTATAGGCATATTTGTTACCAATGTTGAGCATTACCACTGTTAATGACCAACTATATGCAAAACTGCTCTGCTGGGCACTCAGGAAATATTTGCCGGTGTTCGAAATGCCAGGAAATCTTGAAGCCTTAATAGGAATGTTGCTTAAGCGAGAGTGGAGGAAGGGCAGTATAACTCCTGCTCACACAACTGTGAAGCCAGATTCTGAAGCTCTGGGTTAAATGTCTTCAAAAACTACCACATGGCCATCATGTTCAGAGTGCATTGGCAACTGTGTCTCCTTCAAGCTGCCTTGAAACTCTTTTCTGTTGACACTTTGGGAGATGAAGAATTCTCCTCTACTGGTTTAGTTTTGATCTGTGTTTGAAAGGGGAGTCGTGGAAACGTCGGTTTGAGTGGGTGAAGCAAAGCAAACCTCCAACCTCACACTGAGGACTCAGCAAGTTGCTTCATGCTGGCTGCCTGCAGCCGCCTCTTCCCTGTAAGCTTCCCTGAAGTACCGATAAAACAAAACAGGCTCATTAAATTTGAGAGGGTAAGTGAAACTGGCAGTTGGGCCTATTCAAATAGGCTTCCCTCTTTAGATGTTTACATTCAGGAAAATAAAAAGCAGAAGACAAGTGTCTGCTTATTGAGGGCTACTCAGGCCTCCCTTTTGGAGTCAGTAAGGTCAGCCAGGCTTTGGAAGAGGGAGATGTTTTGCCCCAGTCTGAACATTAATAACAGTGAAAAGGCAGAGAGGCCTTGTCACTGTCATTTAACACATGACATTTACATGTATGGAGAAGACCATCTCGAGGAGGTGTGTCTCTGCTCCAGCATGGCCAGCACTATGTCAGCCCGAAGACAGCTATCACAAGCACATTCCACAGGTTGACCCTCTTCTTTCATGACACCC